TCTGCAAGGTCAGAAGTCTATTCCCACGATCGTAATCTGTTGCAGCTGCAAGCTCCCCGGTTCAGAATTGGTAACAGTTTCACAGGCTCCTTCTAGGGGAAGAGCTTCTATTTGTTCTTTTCTTTTAAGGGCAGATCTAACAACAAAGTTTCCTTTTTCAGATATTTTGTCAATATTTGTTCCTTTAAAATGCGAAGGGGAACAATGGAATCACTATGTTTCTCTTCTTTTAACTATCTGTCAAAGACGTTTGTCTCTGGTCAATGAGCTTCCCGAAGAACGTCAGTCCTGACACCCTGCTCCAGGATCAAGACAGTGGAAAGTTACTTTGCGTTACACTCTCTTCTGCAGGTTTAAACAGTCCGGGAAAAATCCCCCCTCTTCTCCTGCTTCCAAAGGGGGTTCAACAATTTTAAATGATGAAAGTTAATCCTTTACAGGCGATTTTCTGAACTCTAGTTTGCCATGTCTTTGCTTTAATCTATCTACAAGAAACGGAAGGCTGACTTCCTGTTTAGACCTTCCCGTTTCAGTGCCAAATTGAGGTAAATTTCTTAGTCCAATTTTCCTTTCTACTCGCAAATCATTATTTGAAGTCCAATTGTCCGAAATTTAAGTACTCACGGGTAGTTGTTTTAAAAGCCAAATTGTCCCAGGAAAAGGCAGCGCTCTCCGGCAACGGCTGTGCGGCTTCGCTCCACGGAAGAAGCAGTTGACTCTCAGCACCGCGCCACTTCCCCTGCTTCACTCCGGAGCCCGTTAGTGGGTTCCTTTGCGGGTTGGGGGGGCGCTAAAGGTGCCCGCCGAGTCCCATGGTCACAGGCTTCATCCGCCTGTGATTTTTGAAAGGGTCCCCGCTTCGCCGTAGCGGGAAAGACCCGTTTCCCGTGGAGCTGGTCCCTCCAGATCAGAGGGAGTCCGCCATTACCGATGGTGCCACCCCGGAAGTCCCTCAAAGTGCTGGTTTTGACCTATAAAGCCTTAAACAGCTCAGGACTGCAATACCTCAAGGACCACCTCTTTCTAGATGAACCTACCCAGATCCTGAGATCTTCTGAGGCCCTTCTTTGTGTGCCTCCTCCTTGAGAGGTCCAGAGGGTGGCAACATGAGAACGGACCTTCTTTGCGGTGGTTCCCCATCTGTGGAATGCTCTCCCCAGGGAAGTTCACCTGGCATCTTCATTATACACACCTTTAGGTTCCTTTTTATCCATGCCTTTGGTTGTTTTGATTGACATCCTATGCCCTTTTAAAATGTGGGGGATCTGGGGAGAGGGGGGTTATTGGGTTGTTTTGATTATATATATATATATTTGATATTTTGAATATATATTTTGTGGTTATATATTTTCATTTTGTTCTGTGAACCACCCTGAGACCTCTGGGTATAGAGCGGTATATGAATTCAATAAATAATAATAATATATAGATATACATATAGTTACATTGCATTGTATAAATGAAATCACACACACACACACACACACACACACACACACAAAATATACTATACAATACATCAACCAGCTCAGAATTTTTAAAATACATTTAGTTCCTACATTTCCTCCAGCAGGCTCTAGCTTGTGTACTTTGTTCTCACCCTCCCCATTTTATCCTCACAAACAGCCCTGTGAGGTAGGTTAGACTGAGAGCTGATGCCTTGCCCAAGAACACCCAGTAAGCTTCACGACTTGAGTGCAGATTTGAACCCTGGTCCTCCAGGTCCTATTTCAGTACTCTAACCCCTACACTAAGTTGGCTGTTGCCAGTGTTCTTGCTATGTATACAACTGGGACTTGCAAGTTAGCAGAAGAAACACTAACGAAAACATAATGCTACATAACCATTAAATTGAGCACATCCACTTCTAGGATACTTATAAAAATTATTACTGTCCTTATTTCACTTAGCTGTTAAAAAAGTCAGCACAGTAATCCTCAACATAACAGTATTATGTAATGATCCACTTTTAATGCACACCAACAGTCAAGAAATTGGATATACAGAAAAATCTCTCAAGAGTACTTAAATTTTAATCACTTTTTTATTGTTATATTGCAAGAGTCACGAGTAGAGTAAACAACATTTTTAGCCCCACTGGGCCTTCAGCAGGTATGTCTTATAGGAACAAGAGGATGCTAGTAATTTGTACTGTTCAAATACGCTATAAAAGTCTGCCGTCATTCAATCTATTCTGCTATCACTGAAAAAGAGATTCTTACACATGTCCTATCACTCACTGTCAGCCGGGATACCAAAGATCCATCAATAATGTTTTTTACACAACAGATACCAAAGCAACAAAAATCAAGAGTATCAAACAAAGCAGGTGAAAAAGGAACTAAGTTAAATTCTTTGAGGCTACATAAAAAAGAAAGGACATACTGCATAATGTATATCTGAAGGAGAATAGCAGTTTAGAATGCCAAGTTCTAAAACAATTAGTAATGAGATTAAGAAAAATCTGATGGTGAACCCATATGTAAAACCCTTAATCTTTTACTTTTGTAGCAATGTCTTCTATACTAAGAATGGGCAACTGCTTACTGAAGGACCTATTTGGTCCCCAAGGGTATTCTAGCCACCTTTGGTCTAAAACCCAAGGATCCCATTTCACACTTCAGTAACGCCCCCCACCCTGTGCAAGCCAATACACTTAATGGCAGAGGACTCTAACCCACTCCTAGTGTGAAAGGCTATAAGGCTATATGGTAACCACCCATAGACAAATAACACATGCTCGTATGTTTTCCATAGTGGCAGGCAAACTAGCTTATACAAGTTGATTTTTGGCACACACACAAAAAACCAACCAAAAACAGATGCAAGGTCTAAGCAAGCAACAAGATTGCCGGCAGCTAAGGAGCAGGCACATGCTTCCCCACTTAATAGTTGATTGTTGCTGGGAAGAGCTGTGATGAGCACAGCCACCACTGAAGGGGGCAAATCCTGCCCTTGGGAAAGAGACCTGGGGTGGCAGCAGGGTCAGCCCAGGATGCTTTGCCACTCTAGGCAAAACTGAAAATGCTACCTGCCACTGCCTGCATGTGCACACACTGCCTGAGTGGGAGCAAAAGGAGGTGAGGGGTGGCGGCATGTGTGTGTGCAGCGGCAGCAAGCAGGCGAATCCACTGCCTGAGGTGACAGCCTTACCCCGCCTCATAGGTAGGCTGACCCAAGTGGCAGGTCCCTAAGACCTAAGTTCATCTACAAAGGTGAGATGCCCAGGTTTTATTTTTGAAAAGTTCACCGTACAGAGATGGCTTTACATTCATCTGTTGTAAAATAAATAAATACATAAATAAATAAATAAATAAATAAATTCAGAGTTATAATATGCTGAACCTAGAGATTCTAAAAGGGAAATGCTTGAAGCATGTACCATTAAAAGTTAAGAGCACAAGTAACAAACAGAGACAACTTAGGGTTCTTAATCCATCCTTGCTTTCTGAAAATATTTAGCTATAAGGTTATAAATGTTTATATTTTTGACTGTCACAAGGTGTGGCTCATTTGGATTTTCCCTTACAGTTATCAACATAACACACAAGCTTAATTTGGTCAAGTCTCGTTGAATATTGATGAAGACTGGGGTTCCTGTGAGTAAGAAGAAGAAACACCAGTACAACTCCCTCACAGTCAAACAAGCATAATACATCAAATCTCTCTCACACCCCATCTCAATCCCTAATATCCAAAGTGCTAGGCCTCATGACAAATATCCCACTATCACATACTGATAAAACACACTGGAAGATAAGGCTTAGTTGGATACATATGGAATTCTCTAAACCAGTCTTTGTTGCTACTACTGTATTGTTAAAATGTACTCATAATTTATTTATAAAGCAAAACAAGGTGCATGATGTAAGGCATGAGAACCCAGGTAAATGTTTTCTATTCTGATGATTTATATCTCATGAATATAATAATACTGGTCTTCTGTAAGCATGGCCCATGACACATGCCATGACAGCATCCTAAAGTGTATTTAATGGCTTTAAAATTCGAAATGGATACAACCATTTACAGTAAAGGTCCACAACAGGTCAGATATGCTCAAGTGAAATACAAACTTAAGAACGTATTATGCAGTTGTCAGTTTGAAAACAAATTGACATATTATCTATTTTCATATTGTAATTAAAATTACTTACTTCCACATAGAGATTCCGACTGTCCTTTTAAGAAAGAAAACGGATTAAACGAACATTTCTATAAGTATCTCACATATAGATAAATATAGGCATCTTATGTTATCTGTCAATTTTTGCATGTAGTTAATTGATTTTTATCTTTTTTTATTACATGAAATAAATAGCAGAGAAATTGTTTTCTCCCTGTATGCTAAGACTGTCCAGAAACTTCAACTAGTTTTAAATAGTGGTGCCTGTATTTTGCTTGAAACAAGCCCAAAAGGAAATATTACACCTGTTTTACAACAACCACACTGATTGGCAACTCAAGGAGATAGTTTTGGCCTATGAAAGAATGGGAAACTTGTGATCCACCAGATATTGTTGGTCTCCAAATACAATCAGCCAGCATAGTCAGTGATCATGGATAATGGGAGCTGCAATGCAACAACATCTGGAGGGCCACAAGTTTCCCATTCCTGCCTTAAATGGTCTAGGGCTAGAATATTTCACAACGGAAACACTGTGCTCTGGCATTTTTGCAATCTGCTCAGGATTCAATCCTTAAGTACTGCAAGATTGGCATCTGCTAAGAGCAAAGTCTTCTCAGCAGCAACCCCAGTAATTGGAATGGCCTTCCCAGGAGGAGCTCTTGGCTTCATCACTGGCAGCTTTGCAAAAGTGAATAAAAACACATCTGTTTCATCTATCATTTGAAGCTACTGTCTGATAAACTGTTCCTTGATCGATCCCAGTTTGTCATTTATTCTATTACTGTATTACTGTATTGTATTAGGTTCAGCTATTGCATTATTAGCTTTATACTGTAAATTGTTGTAAAATTAGTTTTGAAAAGCAGTGCATAAATACTGTAAAATAAAATTGAATAAAATATACTAAACAGAAATTTGCATACAAAGTAAGTAAGACATTATGTTTTATTTACACGTTAAAATGAGCTCCATGTAATAGGTGATACAACTGATATGACATTCAGCATGACACTGATTCTGATGATATCTGGAACATTCACCAAATATCAATATACCTTGAGAATGAACATTTCCCAAAGGATCACTTCTGATTTGTTCCTCCTCATCTCATAAAAAAGAACTAGGAGGTTTAGAATTAGTATTGTTACCTACTGCTTGTGAACCTGCAGCAAATGGTGCTGATCCAAGATACAGCCATGTGCTATATACTTCACACAACAAATATACGAGGATATCCTGTGGCATGGCTGGAAAGTCACCTTGCAGGGAAAATAAAATGGTTGTGTGAATACCAGTAGCACTGAGCCCCTGCAACAGAAACTCACTTAAAAGAATTATTATATTCCACAATGCTATAAACCTAAATTCACTGCTCAGCAGAGTTGCAACTCCTGATCCAAGCAGTGACCCTGAGAATTAAAATGTAGTTTCTGAAAAACAGCATGCTCACCACAGAAATCTTCCTGGCATTATACCTGAGAAAGATATTGTACTTAACCAATAGTGTAAATCAAAATCATTTCCCCCAGACAATAATCTGAAAAATTACACAGTGTGTTGCTCAAAAACCTTGGGAGCAATATTCCTTATTTAGACTAGGTCAATAAGTTGTGCTGCATGGTTCCATGAACAAAATCTAGAGTTAAGAACCCTCCTTTTCATGCTTAATGGTTTGCTTGGAAGTGGATATAGGTCCTGTTTTTACTGGAACTTTGCAATATTTTGAAAAACCACAAATAAAAATGCTTATTATAAAATTGTGTGAAAAAAGATTCCTTTATTCAAGCCAAAGCTCAATTGCTATTACTAGAAAAATTTATTTCGGCCACACACAAAGTGATTGTTAACATTTGCCAAAAAATGTAGCCTTATACAGTAACCAGGTCAAAAAGGCAGCATATCAGCTTTCAAATAAGTTTAAAAATAATGCAAAAACGTTTTAGATTACACAGCCAAGACCTTGTCAGCTTTTAATTTAAAAGGCTGCGGGAAACAGTACACAAAAATTATACTTCATAAACTCTGAAACTGTAGATATGTTAAGGTTACTTGGCACAGCAGCTAATTAAATTAAATTAGACCTTCTAGTAATTAGTTTCTACCTACAGCAAAATTGTATGCTAAGTTTATATTGGATAGATACAGCACTGTTAATGGTCCAGCGTAAGAGGGCAACAGTCTGTGTTACAAAACCCTAGATTCTTTTTTAATTGAGGGAACCTCCTATCCCCAATACACTGAAATTCTTGCCAGCAAGTAACGGCTTTACTTCTCAAGGCTGAGCTTTGAAATCCCTGGGTCCAGACTGTGCCTGGTATTTTAGGTTAGTGAGCTTATTAACTTAAAATTTCCAATATGCACTAGGTGATGTATGAAAAATAGGAGGGTAAGAACTAGCAGAAGTCCCTGCCAGCAGGCTGAAGTTCTACAAAGAGGGAAAAAAAGAAAATACATGAAGTAAAATATACGGGAAGTTGGAAAGAAAAGAATAATTTGCACAAGTTGGGAAAACAGATAGAAATAAAGCTAAAAAGTATATCAATAAAGATAGGAATAGGGCAGGGGTCAGCAAAGTTTTTGTGGCTTGGGCCAGTTCACGGTCCCACAGATGCCGCAGTGGGCCAGAGTGTGTGCGCACGCACGTGCAAATGCTATTTCCGGCGATCATTCCAGCGCAGAGGAGGTGTGCACAGCTTCCCATTGGCTGCAGGAGCTTCCTGCAGCCAATGGGAAGCCAGCCAACATCGCGGAAGGCAGTCCCCGCTCTGCTCCGCGCCACTTTAGCACGGCGCACGGGAGCTGACTGAGCGGGTGGCGGAGGTCCATGGGCCTGTTAAACGACCCCCATGGGCCGCTTGTGGCCCATGGGCCTTAGGTTGCTGACCCCTGGAATAGGGTATGAATTTTAAGAAAAGAACCTCATGAAGAAAAGATCGGATGAAAGGGGGGGATTCTTTCAAGTGAGACAAAATTCCTTTCCAGTGCTGTAGACCCTAGACAGTACTGGTTGGTGGAACTGAAAAAGGAATGTTTACGCATTTTCCTATTTAGCTGCTGAGTATTTGGGTTTTTTGTTTACCAGTTAGAAACTATTGCTTGATTCCCAATGAAAATCCTCGTCAATACCTATATTACATGGCTGCTTATTCCTATATATATTAAAATTTTATATATGGATGTTTTATGGTGGCCTATACTTGTAATGCTTAACAAAGGTTTGGCAAAGTAAGTAAGAAAGTATTGCTTGATTCTTGTTTCCACATGTTATGGTTATATATGTCACAATTGCTGCTGAGGTTTAGAAACTGACGGAGATCGTAATAAAGGAGCAGTCACATAATCACACGTAATGCTAGAACACACATACTGTATGCATAGATGACATGGACTGTCTCTGTGCACCTCCAGCTGCCATCTTCAGCTATCCAACTCCCCTAAAACAGATTAAGGGTTTTTCTGCCAGATCCTATTTAGTTAGCTACTACTATTATTTATAACCCACATTTCAGAACACAAATCCTTCCAAGGCTGCTTACAAATAACAATGGTGAAAATAAAATCATGACAAAACAAGCAAAATATAAGCCATCAGGATCCTTCCAGCAATGCAGCTGGCAGCAGATGGTCTTGTTTTGAGGGAAGGGAGAGAGCAGGTGCTAAAAATGGTACTTTGCCACTCTCTTGGACCCTACCTACAAAGCAGTTGGTGGTAGAAGACACTGTGGGACCACAGGATGGGAAGTCCACCTGGTCTTCATCTGCCTCCCTCTCCTCTTTGCTGCCAAGTACATTTTGGTTTAAAAGTCAATTGTGTGTTGATTCTGATTCTTTTTTGACCCCATCCCGACATCTGCCACTGTGAGCTGAAGTGACTGACCCAGTGTTACATGCAGTTAATACCCGTATGTTAACTTCCATAAATATGCATTCAATATTAGCTAGGAAATCTCAGACTTACTGATTTACTAAATAAGGAATCAGGCAGTTGTTCTAAAGGTTAGCATCTCAGGGTTTTTAATCATGAAATAACTACCCCTAATCTAATGGCAGACAGAAGTTGAGTATTCCAACAGTATTCAAAAAACTAACTAAAGGTACAGGCATTTAATTCAATTAATGTCACTGGTGTCCTCTCCAAGACCAAGTCATCTTTTTACCAAAACAGCAAGGATTTTTGGGGAACATTTAAGGCTGTGTCATAAACTTTCTTAATCTAAAGTACAGTATATCAAATGCAGCATTTACATCTAATCATCTGCCAAAGTGGAATCTATTCCATGAAAGCTTCTGCCACAATAAATCAGTTGGTCTTAGTCTCTTGCAGTAAAAACAACAAAAAGTCAAACATAGAACGTTCCACAAAACATCTGGAATGTATCACTTTTCCTGTCAGGGCATTATGAAGAAAGTTCAACTTTGTTCAACTACATCCTTACTGAAAATGAATATCTGCCTGTTCACCTTGTCACTTGCAGGAGGCTTGTTTATTTCCTCTTCATGCTAGATGTTGCTGTGACCAGAATAACAGCAACCTGCTAATTGATCACTTTACATTTGAAGATTGTACACATAAAGCTTGTCATAGAAATTATAAACAGATTTATATCTGGTATATTGCATCACATTATTTTGCCTTACACTTCAGTATATCTACTGCAGTAAATATAAATAAAGGGATACCTGTTGTTCCAAGCCCACTCATTTATTATTGAGAGCCACTGGATTTCTAAAATATACTTGTGAAAAGCCTGGCTCACAGTCACCCTGAATTTCAAAAGCAAAAGATCCCTTTCTAGAAAATGGATCTCACTATAAAAAGAGCAAACTGCAAATTTCAACTATCAAGCACTATTAGAAATTGTTTATGACACGCAGGGAGGACCATAAATCCACTATCTTTTTCTGGTAGCTTTCTTTAATTGATTCTATATTTTAAAATATAAACATGGTACAAACATTTAATACAAGATAAAACAAGAGCATTATCATAGCATCATGAAAGAAAGAAAAATGTATAAATGATGTAATAACTATATAAAATATATTAACTTTTGAAATTTTAAATACTTTAAGGGAAACAATATTTGGTATGTTATTTAATGACTATTATAACCTGCTCTAACCATCAAAAAACCTTTAACACTGCTAAAGTCATTTAAGTATTGTAAATGCATCAACTACATGCAGAGGACATCTTGTGTCTCCCCCTGTATCAGCCAAAGTAGTTACACCCATCCCTGCTGCTAAGCAGAGACATGACCACATGTCCATGAACTGGGGCCCCAAGAGATAATTGTGATAAAAGGGAGGGGAAGAGATGTATACCCACTGAAAACTTTAAGGTATACAGGAGGTTCAGGTAATGTACCCATATAAACTTCAAAATCTCTAATGTGCAGAGTGGTCTTTAGATATAAACCAACAGATTAAGGATTGCTTCACAAGTGACATCTTTCCTACACGGAGGTAACAGCACAGGATAATGTGACTACATCAGCATGTGTGAGGGTATGCCTATTTTGTCACGGTACCTTGTGTCTAAAGTGTGCTGCATGCTGTACTCTCCAAACACAAATAATGCAGCAATGCAGGCACTCATGAAAATTGTCACGCATCTGTTCCTTTTGGATATACAGTAGTAGATGGTGAGATATCTAAGAATGAATTAAATCTTTTTCTTTATGCAACTGCTGTGGCCAGAATAACTTACACACAAATGTGGAAGGACAAAAATAGTCCAAAAAAGAGGATTGGCAGAATAACCGGATAGAATATGTGGAGCTAGCGATGCTGACTGCAAAGATAAGAAACCAAGATGATAAGATAAGAGAGGAGTGGGAAAACTTTGGAGAATATTTTTAAAATTCTAATAGTTATATAAATCTCCAAGTAGGATCAGACATATGAACAGCAGCTAAATCAATTAGAAGGTGCGAAAGGATATGTAGCACAACTAAGGGAAAAAAGGAACCCATGGAGGGAGGTGCGGGGGAAGTCGAACAATGTAGAAGGGTAATAAAGAACATTGTGAAATGGATGTACTAATATATTATAAATGAATGAATAAACAAACAAAAAAACAATAGGGAAAAAAGACATTTGTCACACATCACAGATCATACATTTTCTTTTAATAGAACGATGCAGACACATTGTCACCAGCAAAATCACACACACAAAATAGCAGATTTTTTTTTTAAAAAAATGGAACCTTAAACTATCTGTCCACATACAGTGGTACCTTGGGTTAAGAACTTAATTCGTTCTGGAGGTTCATTCTTAACCTGAAACTGTTCTTAACCTGAGGAACCACTTTAGCTAATGGGGGCCCCCGCTGCCGCTGCACAATTTCTGTTCTCATCCTGAAGCAAAGTTCTTAACCCGAGGTACTATTTCTGGGTTAGCGGAGTCTGTAACCTGAAGCATCTGTAACCTGAGGTCCCACTGTATTAAACTATTTATTACAAATTTGTGTCAGCAGCTCTCCAAGGACTCAGGCAGAGTTCTTCCACATCAATTGTAATCTGCTACTTTTAGCCGGAGATGCTGGGAATTGAACCTGGAACCTACTACATGCAAACCAGGTAATGTAACACTGAGTTATGGTCCCTTGCTCACTCATCTCTCCTACACTTCAATTGAAAAGAGGTTGTTTTTTCTTATTTAGAAGCAACCGGCGTGAGTGTCATGTGAAAATTTAGATGTGACATTTGCTTTTTTTAAACTACAAAGTGACACTATAATCAGAAATAATTTCCACTTATGATGGCATGAGTCATGCCAGCCTATTACATAAAGTGGTCTCCCCCATAGGCTTTGGTATAGAAGATCATTGATAAGAGGACAATGGAAATTAATTAGCAATTTCCACACACGCATACACATTGGTTGCAATGGAAAGGAAAATAACTATACTAGCTCCATTTCAAGTGGCATGCCTTGGAAAATGAATAAAATGAAGAGTCTTTGATTCAGTCAGATCCACAGCTTTCCTGATTTTAAGAAAAATATACAGTGGTACCTCAGGTTAAGAACTTAATTCGTTCTGGAGGTCCGTTCTTAACCTGAAACTGTTTTAACCTGAAGCACCACTTTAGCTAATGGGGCCTCCTGCTGCTGCCAAGCTGCTGCTGCACGATTTCTGTTCTCATCCTGAAGCAAAGTTTTTAACCAGAGGTACTATTTCTGGGTTAGCGGAGTATGTAACCTGAAGCGTATGTAATCTGAAGGGTATGTAACCCGAGGTACCACTGTAATGTTTTTATTAAATGTAAGATTACTGAAACACGTATTCATTGAATTGTCTTTTTAAGTGAGAAAGAAAGGGCATTAAGAAAATAGTGTTGAAAAATGACAATGGAAATCACTGACAAGGTTTTTTATATTAGTCTCTGTTGGATAGTCTTATATTTAGTAGCATTTTACAAGGGTTGGACACAACAGATGACTGTAGTTCTTTTTGTTTCTTCTGTTTAGCTATTTTTCAAGGACTGAGAATATACTTTAAGCAAAAAAAGCTGCCATTTGTGAAATCTATGTGACATAACAGGGCCATCTTGTGGCAAAGCAATACAAAATAAACACTCAAGAGTTCTGCATTATTGGACCTTACTTGATATATTAAGTTTGCTTGATACTTACTGAGATCTCTGTGTTGCAACACAGTCAAAATTAAAAACCCCACTTTCTTTCCATCAGATAAAATTACAGGAATTCCACAGTTACTTTCTTTTAATTTGTTTGTTTCTCTGAAAATAAAATGCTTTTGCTAATTTAATCAACCATTTTATTATTCTATAGCAATACTTGATTCCTAAGGCGGTTCTTTAGCAACCTATGTATCAGAAATGTTGCCAGGAATAAACTCTCTCACACAATTATTTTATAAAATTAAAATAGTAACAATGGCTGTACTCAAAAGTAAGAAAAAATACATGCAGAACTAAGGAACAGCTCATCGGTATTCATCCTGAAAACAAGCAGGCTCAATTCAGGTAGTATAAATAGAAGAGTGTTTGTCAACTTTCACATTTATTTCATCAGCTAACTCCAGAGGCATCTTGACTACATTGTGCATTAATTGTGAGGAGGGGAGTTAAAAATATTCACCACTTAATAAGGTTGGCCTGAAGCACTACAGATACATTTATTTTCATCATCATGAAAATATACAAATGCAATTTCACTCCTATTTCTTTTGAGTAAGGAGAACACTAGGAAAGTGTTAAGCATGCCTCATTTATTTAAGAGATAGGAACGCTCACATTTAAGTCAGGAAGAAAACAATTTAAGTGTCATCTTAATGTGGCAAAATGATAGCTACAACTATCTGACTATTTTGCAAAGGTATGCTTTGGAACAGTATTTAATGGATAGTGCCATGTCTTTTCTTTAAAGGCGTATAAAACCTTGGCTAAGTGTTGTTATCAGCAGAAACTGCAAGAGAGTTTCATATCTTGCTCTCTCTTTATAAAATGCAGAGTAACAATAATGAAAGGCCAGGTGCATACATGTGTTAGTTATTTTATACAAGACCAGCAAAACTGTCACTGTGGTCAGCAACCTGAGAAAAATGTAAACTAGAAAAAATTAGAGCCCTCCACAGGAAACCCCCCTGAAGTAATTATTGAAGTTTATTTAGCAGCCTATGCAGGTTCTCTGCTCTTAAGATATTAGGGTTATAATTTGCACTGTGTGATTCCTCAGGCTGGAATGTTTTAAATAATCTACGTTCTACATCATCAGAGATGGAAGCCATCAAACTAATTTCCATTTATGACCCTTCATCAACTAAATATTTAAATGAAAACATCCAACAGCGGGTGGGGAGGGGAGACTTACACTGCCTTGCAGAGAACTTTATTAGTTCCTGTTGATATGACTTCTGCTCTCTTCAATAGCAAGTTAGCATGAGACTCAGAATCTCTTTTTACTAAGTGCAAGTTCCAATCTAAACTGCAGACTGAAAGAAGTGACAAGGTGAGCAGAATTTGTTGGCAATTATACACACCCTTGGATGTACCAAGCCAGAGGCCTGCATTACACATTACTTTTTACACAAAAACCTAACGTGTTTAGAAATTCATGTTTCATAGAGATGGTATACTCAGAAAGCCAGGATTGGCTACAATCTCCCTTTACTGCTGAATGAACATTTGAATTCAGATCACCCTGATCTACGTTTCAAAACCCAAAAGGTAAAGATGGGACACAGGTGGCACTGTGGTCTAAACCATTGAACTTCTTGGGCTTGCCGATTGGAAGGTCGGAGGTTCGCAATGGGGTGAGTTCCTGTTTCAAAACCCTATCCACTATTCCACACTGGCTCGTTGAGCTGATCTGAAGGAAAGCATTCTAGATACATAAAATGACATATATATACACATTTCTGTGATATCTTGACTAACTAAGCTTATTATTTCACATGAGCTTTCATGTGGCAATAGCCTGTGCTTCCCTGACTGCAAGAAATGGACACAGAACTTGTTAAATATCTACACATATAATAAGATATGATCTAGCAAATACCTTAAGCTGGACTGCACACTAACACAACACTGCAGTCTTTTTTAGACATGGCTAAATAACAGTTTGCCTTGGATGTCCACACACCCTTCTCCTATCACACTCTCTGTTTCACTTATCACCTCCTGGTTTGCAATAATTATAGTTTGATGTGACATCTGACGGCATACCTCCCAATCAGAATACGGAACCTGCCCAAGTCCAGCTGCCAAAACCAGTTTTGAGGCAAATATAGTTTGTGGTAACCATCATTTACCCAGATCTGACATGATGGCAAGCTATAGTTACTGCAATCCAGAGAAAGCATTGCAGTTAAGTAAGTAAGTGTGTGTGTGTGTGTGTGTGTGTGTGTGTGTGTGAGAGAGAGAGAGAGAGAGAGAGAGACAGAGAGAGAGAGAGAGAGAGAGACGTTGACTAATCTGCAATTTAAGATTATTAACATAGATAATATTTAAGGTATTGTGAGGGTGTGTTGTTGTTGTTTTTTTGGGGGGTTACACTGTATTTCTATGTCCCTTCTAATTCCTGGATCCAGCAAGGATTCAGTTGCTGAAGTAGCAGGCCAGCTTCTAACTAACGGTCTCTCAAGTATCGGTCATTAAGGTATCAAAGAAAGTGGCTCTGTGCCAGAAAACAAATGGGTGGACTCCCCTCCCTCATCTGGCTGCTGGTTAGAAGGGCAAAACCCAGAGCCAGAGTTGTGTGAGAGAGCTAGGCTAGAAGCAGGCAGCAACTGGAGACACAGATCAATGCTTGATTTCTGTTTGAATCTAAGGCTGTGGTTATAGGAGAAGCAATATATTATTGGGGTGTTACTGCTGTGAGCCCCTCCATTGTTGGCTCAGGTTGTATATATCTGTAAATAAATCATATATCATAAAAACATCACAATCTCCACTGTCCCTAATTCCAAGGAAACCTTCATTCTGGGAAAGTACCTGGAACCCTTGGAATCTCGCACCACTCAGAGATTAGGATTGCGGGCAACAGTATGTATATGTGAATGAGCTGCTGAATATCACTACAAACAGAACTTTTAAAGTCCCCCAGTACCAACTTAAACAATTATTTCCAACTGAGATAGTTCATACACTTTCACTGAAAGTTATAAAATTGTTAAGTAAGTAAGCAATGACAGATCAAGCAATGTTACATTGTTTATGTTTCTTGGAAGAAATAAATATGAATGAATGAATGTAAAAGCTATACCACTAATTTTTACACTTGAAATACAACTATGAAAATGTTGGCTATCACATTTTGCCCTCCTTGACAGATAGGCAGGCACAAACAAGATAACTTCTGGGCTCATTCAACTCACTGCTAATCATCACATTAACATGAGATAAATTCTGTTCTATTCTGTGCTGTAAAAGCAAAGTCTATCAAGACATTTACCAGACAGCAGAGTGTGTAGAAACAACTACTGCTTAATGAATGTACAAAGTACAATGGAATGAAAGAGAAGAGGTTGTTAAAGCAGAAATCTAATGCTACAAGCACAGGGCACAGAATTAAGAGAACTGGAGGAATGCTGAAGGGAAATACTACTATATTGTAAAGATGCTAATTTTCAAGGTAAGTGAACTCATACAGGTTTGCCAATTACATTTAAGAGCCATATATAAACGGTGTAAGAGGCTAGTCAAGCCCTCTGTTTTACATATATAGGTCTCACTCTGCCCAGTATTCTGCCATCACCTCAACAATGCCACAGTATCACCAACTATAGGTGACAGGATGTACCCACTCC